GGCGCCGCCGGTTCCGCGTCCAGGCGTCTCCTAAGCGTCCGTGGAAACGCCGTCCGGCCGGAAGCACTTCCGGCATGGCTGCGCCATCATTGGCTGTTCTCGCGGGGCGGGACGGAGGCCCCCGCTGATTGGTTGGATGCCTCGGCGCTGGCGGAACACGACTGGGGGGCGGAGTGCAGGTAGGACCGGCTCCGGGAGGACCGGCTCCGGGAGGATCGAGCGCTTCCGGTGTGTGTGGTGAGCGGCGGGCCTGGGGCGGGAGGGTGCTGCCCGGCAGCGGCGCGAGCCCTCCGCGCCCCTTGTCGCGGACCTTTCACCGCCGGTATCCTCCCCTTCATCGCAGGCTCTTTCCGAACGCGCCGTCCTCGGGATCACCCTTAACCTCTCGCTCTTGACAGCTCGGCTAACTCCTGTTCTTTCTTCAAAACCCAGCTCTGGTCGTATCTTGTTTGTTCTCTTCATTAGTCTGTGGCCTCCGGCGTGGGATCCGTGTTTCGCGTTTAGTCTCTGGCCCAACATCAGACCCAACAGAAAGCTTGGCACAGAGAGGGCAACCGGGAAATGCTTGTTGAATGAGAATCTCCTGTGTCTTTACTTTCTCTGTGCCCCTCCCATCCGGTGCTGGGACCCAACAGTGAGCAAAACATGAAAACTCCTGTCCTAGGCAGCTGCCGGGCTGCTGAGGGTCCTTGCCACGCCCCGCTCCGTTTCTCCCGTGAGCTTTCCTTTTCTTCTAGCTGTACCTCTTCCTCTCTGTGTAATCACCCCGTCTTTCCATGAAAAAATTTCCTTCCTCACCTTTTGCCTTAGCAGCGGTTCTCAACCTGTGGGTCGTGACCCCTTTGGGGGTCGAACGACCCTTTCACAGGGGTCGCCAAAGACCATTGGAAAACACATATAATTACATATTGTTTTTGTGATTAATCACTATGCTTTAATTATGTCCAATTTGTAACAATGACATTGGGGGTCACCACAGCATGAGGAACTGTATTAAAGGGTCGCGGCATTAGGAAGATTGAGAACCACTGCCTTAGAAACATAAAACACATATTCTTAGAAACATAAAAACATTCTCCTAAAATTTGGTTGTCCCACTGGCTCCCCGTTTTTGCCTGTTTTCTTCGAGTCATCTTGGTTCCCTTCTCTCTGACCCGCTTTGATCCGATTTGTTGCTTCTTGCCATCTGCTCCCTGACCCCCACGGAGCATTATTCAGGTGTCACCTGTTCTAGGCCTGCCTCAGCCTCCCTCAATGAACCCCCACACCTACTGCCACCTCTATTCTCCTCTCTCTTCTCTCCTTATGATTTCTCACCCCCTGACACCCCCATTTCATTGATTAGGATCTGTTTCTCCCCACTGGCATTGGAGCATGGTGAGTGCAGGGCATTGTTTCCCTGGGTGCCTAGTGTGGGGCTTGGCGAGTAGCCCGTTCTGCGTCAGTGTTTACTGAACGAATGAAAGGCACACGAAGCAGGTAGTATTGGCATCCCTGCCGTCCACCCTCCTGCGTTCATGCCATCCTCCCTGCCTTGCCTTGTTAGGAAGCGGGGCTAGGGGGCCCCCAATCCCACTGCTCTCTGATCTTTGGCTGTAGACCTCGTCTTTCATTCTGGCCGTGGGCTTCTGTGAGGGAACCACTGTGGAGGGCTGGGTGGGTGAGAGTCCATCCTAATGGCCAAGCACAGGCGCCCTGCCCTGGTGGCGGGAGCCTGGTGGGCTCCCTTTGACAGGAAGGAACGGGATGCTGTGCACAGGAGTTGAGATGTCGGATCAGGACGGGTATTTAGAGAACAGAAGTGCCAAGTCATCCACGGTGCTCAGTTCCATTCGTGTGTCGTTAGCCCACTATGTTATATTAGTCCCATCTGAGACGGACTGGCCTGTTTTAGAAGTTTATTTTAGAGGGTGGCTTGGTGTGTGGATGAGGCTGCAGGTGAGGGTGGGATTTGGGGAGGAGGCAGATGACCTAGCTTGTTTGGGGTGAATGGCACCCTTTGGGGAAAAGGCGTGGAAGGGGTGGGTGTGGATTCCAGGGGACGTGAAACCTCTCTCTAAGGGGGGACAGGCTGTCTGGAATGGCTTGACTGATGACCCAGAGGGACCACGCCCAGGGGAGGAGGAGTTCAGCCGGTGTATTAAGGAGGGTGGGCACTCTGGGCTTTGTCAGAAGTTCGTCCTCCCTGAAGTTTTCCACGCTGCTCCACCGCGCCCTCTGCTGTCCGGGACGGGACGTTTCCCGCATCCTTGTTTTCCTCTTGAGGCGAGTTCACGTTCACAGCACAGAACTGAACTCCAGATGGAATACTTCCTTCTAGAAACCAATTGGTGGCCATTTTATCATGTATGATGGCTCAGAATCTCAGGAAAGATTTTTTTAGGGAGGGGGAACTCCCTGTTGTATGAGTCTGTATGTTGGAGTGAAACTGGCAGGTTTGGATGACACCCTCGGGCCCCTCCGCCTGGACTTGTGGGTCTGTCACCCCAACTGGCTTCGAGTGGAGATGGGGTATCTGGGGGAGAGTCCCAGAGAGAATACAAGGAAGGACGAGCCCAGAGAGAGGGCAGAGGTGAGGGTAGCACGCTTTCCCCACCTGGTGGATCTGTCCATTTCAGGGTTTTCAGACCTAACCTCATCCCCTTGATGACTGAATGGCCAATAAGCTGCAGGCTCTCTGTACATCTGTCTTTGCAAACATATTCAGGTATTGGTGTAGGAGGCAGTTCTATAGTGGGGATGTTGCAGTAAAAAGGATAGTACTTCTCAACCTTCCTAATGCCGCGACCCTTTAATACGGTTCCTCATGTTGTGGTGACCCCCAACCATAAAATTATTTTCGTTGCTACTTCATAACTGTAATTTTGCTACTGTCATGAGTCATAATGTAAATATCTGATATGCAGGATGTATTTTCAGGGGTCGCGACCCACAGGTTGAGAACCGCTGATACGTTTCAGTTTGTAATAGGTAGTCCCCATATTGCCCTTCCAACAGTTTCTTTATTTTTCAAATTATTATGATGTTTACATTTTTAATTTTTATTAAGACACCATTGACATATAACAGTGTGCAAGTTTAAGGAACACACGTGCTGATTTGGTACATTAATACATTGCAATATGAGTACCACCATAGCATTAGCTAACAACACTATTACACCCCATAATTATCCTTTCTTTTTTTGTGGTGAAAGGTTGCCAGCATCTGGGTTATTTGGCTGGCACTTCCTGGTTTCTCCTCCTTTTTTTCTTTTGTATTGAATTTATTGGGGTGACATCGGTTAATAAATTTATATAGTGTCAGGTATACATTCTGTAATACATCATCTGTATATTGCACCAACAGGCACCTTTAAAGTCCCGGGTCTTTCTGTCCAGGCATCGTGTCTACAGGTACTTGGGTCCTATTTTATGTCTTTCAATAAAGCTTTTGTTTTCTTCATGTAGGTCTTGCTAGTTTGGGGGGAGGGGGTTAAATTTATTCCCATATTTCCATAGGATAATGACCCCTTCTAATTAATTATGCCAGATGTATAGAAAAGCCCTCAGGCTTTATGTGTTTATTCTTACGTTGTTTTCTGTCTTAGATTTGCTAGATGGCATGATTTCCTTTACCTTGGCATGGTGGTAACTATTCTTCCATGCACGCTTTCTGACATCTGATTTTGGTCTCAGGTCGTTTGCCCTCGAGGGACCGCGGGACACAGTGTCTTCAATGGCTTCATTGGTGGCCTATGATGACTCGGACTCCGAGGCTGAGAGCGAGCTTGCGGGAAGCTGTGCTGCCGCTGGCCAGAGGAAGGACTCTTGTGTTACGGTCGAACCGCGCGGCCAGGCTTTCGCATCGGGAGTCCTGGACAGGACAGGAGGCACACTGCCCACCAAGCACGGCTCCTGTGAAGACCCAGCCGGCCAGCGTCTCCCACTGGCTCGGCTCTGGAGGAGCGACCCTGGCTCTTGCCCCAGCCAGAGGCTACAGTGGCCCAGGACAGAGCCCGACGTCACCTTCCCCGCAAGCGGGCCTCCTCGTCCTTCCCTGTGGACCAGCCACGCTCCCGCTGGCCATGTGCCCCGGGCAGCCGCCTGCTTGAAGCAGGTGAGACTCTCCTGGGGAACTTACGACCCCCCGGAGCCACCTTTCGGTGCCCAACCCAAACCTGAGACCCCGGGGAAGAGTGGCAGCTCTCTTCAGAAGAAAAGGCGAGAGGACTGTATTGTGCCCTACACCCCGAAGAGACTGAGATGCTCGCAAGCGTTAAGCACAGAAACAGGCAAGAACAAAGATGCGGAGGCCCGGGATCCCTCTCTGCGCCCCCCGCGCCCTCTGTGCACGGCCCCCCAAGTGTCCGAGTTCATCCAGCCGTACCTGGGCACCCCGTATAAGGAAACCCAGATATCCCAGAAGGTCCTCTTCCACCTGCGAGGCCACAAGGGCCCCGTCAGCAGCATCCAGTGGTGCCCCGTCTTTTCAAAGAGCCACATGTTCCTCTCGGCTTCTCTGGATAAAACCTTCAAGGTAAGTTTTGAGTGGAACTGCTCTTTTTAGTTACTCTCAGGACCAAGCTGCTGGGCTGCGTTATTCTTCAAAGCAGTGACGTGGGGGGTTACAGGCGGCACAGTTCTTTTTGGGGATTTCTGTGATTCTCTCTGATGCATTCAGGAGAGGGTTCTCGTTGGTCCATTCAGCCCAGTGCTTCCCTGGCACTGCCTTGCCAGGCGCCACAGGCTAGTCCGTATCCCCGCGGGGGCACTGAGGACATCCAGACATGCTGGCATCCAGGGAGGATGTGGTCCCTGGAGAGAGCGATCAGAGGGAGAAGAAAGCAGCCCGGCCCGAGCCCCGTGCACTCGGGACATCTTCTGAGACTCCCGTGGAGTGCTGAGCGATGCCAGCTCTGTGCCAGGTGCTGTGTTACATGCGGGGGGTGCAGAGGTAGACAGACCTGGTCCCTGGCTTCAGGGCACACACATTGTGGTAGGGGCCGCAGGTGCATGGCGAGGTACCCAGAATCCTGGGCCTAGGGCTGTGAGGACCAGACCCCAGCCAGATCTCCAGCCGGATACATAAGTGCCACAGGAACCCAGTGGGAGGGACGGCTTCCAGCCTGGGAGGGCTTGTGAAGGCTTCAGAAGCAGAGGTGGTGCACTTGGTGAAAGGGGGGTGGGGGGAGGACATTCTTCGCTCTAAGCGTGGAGGCCTTAAGGGGCCCGAGGCTGGGGAAGTAGGCAGGGGCCACACAAGGAGGACTGTGGTGGCCTGTTGGAGGCTTCCAGTTTTTTTATTGTTATTTACTGATTTTAATGTATACTGAAGTAATGCAGGCTTGCAGTAAGCAAGCCTCACGGCACAGGTGAATAGTGTCACAGGCGTGTCCCACCTGCCTGTAACCTGTCTCCGACCCTCTGAGCTGTACTCTGTGTCCCTCCTCGCTTCCTCGGCACCTAGCACAGCACTTGTGTAGGAGGGGCCAAAGAGATTTGGACGGAAGCTTCCTGGAAAGAAAATGGCGTTGGTGTTGGGGTGACATGGCTTCGCATCCAGCTTTGCTGGGGAGCAGCTGGTCCACTGGCCTGACCTGTGCCCTCCATCTGGCGTCGCATCTGGAAAGGGCGTCATCGTATCCGTGTCTGTGATCATGTGGGAAAAACACTCACCAAGCCCCTGGCACAGAGCTAGGTACCCCACTGGTGCTCAATAAATGTCTGTTCCCTCTGTTTTTCTCAGAGTTCTGGAGCCAGCCTGCCCAGGACACTGTATTTGCAAGTTCTGTTCTGAGCTTTTCCCCTAGGAGGCGCTTTCTGAGGTGAAGAAAGGAAGCCCACCCACAGCAAAGTCTCTGATGTGAGCCGAACCACTGGGGTCCTTTTTAAGTGGCCAGTTGGAGTTCTGACCCGACTTGTGTTCTTTTCAGGCTGGTAGAGCTGTGCGGGGCCATTGTCACGTCCTGGCTTCCGTTTGGAGCCCAGGGGTTTACACGCAGGTCTTTGGGGCTCTTCCTGCCAGGAGGCGCCCTGAGGTCTGCCCAGAGGCTTCTGGCCTGGCCTGCTGTGCGTTGTCACAGGCTTGGGTCGGTCCCACAGTCCCGGGCTTCTCGGCCCTCCTTCCCGAGAGTCTGTGCCCACGGAGGGGGCCGTGTGGGGTCTGTGTGTGGCCAGGCAGCGTCTGGCAGGCCCCATCTGTGGTCTGGAGTTACAGTGATCTGGGCTCGGGGTTCATTTCCATCCTCAAGAGCTTTGTGACCTTGAGCAAGGCACTTAACCTCTCTGAGCCTGTTTCCGCTCAGTGGAACCAGCAGATGAGTTGTGTGGCTGGGGCTTCTCAGGTGGGACAGATGCACAGGTGCTGTGTCTACAGCACCCAGGCTAACGCTGGGCGCACGGTGGAGTTTGGTGGAGGGTAGTGTGGTCTCAGGTGGGCCACCTGAGGGATGCGGGCAGCCCCTTCCTGGTACGTAGAGGGAGGGGCAGTTTGGCAGATGTTGACAGCAATCGTGAGGAGGAAGAGGCCCCCTTGATAATTTTCAGACAGAGAGCATCTGAGTGAAACCACTGATTTGGGGCATTGCGTTTGCTCAGTTGTGTAGCGAGTGTTCGTGGAGTAGGTGAGTGTGCACTGGGGATGTAGAAAGGGCCCCATGGAGGGACCATGGAGCAGCCAACTAGCTGTGACACCTCTTGACCAGAAGAGGGCGCACTCGGTCCAGCTTGGGAAGGCTGGTCAAGCCCAGGGGTGATGCACTGAGACCTGGGTCCAGGGCCTTTTGCAGTGGGGCTGGTCTGGTCAGTGGCTGTGCTGCCCATCCCGAGGAGATGGTGTGTGCTGCTGGGCCTGGCAGCCTGCAGGGCGCCCTGTCCACTGCAGTGTTCGTCTCCTGAGGAGGCTGTAGGAGCGGCTTTGGAGGTGGCCCCAGGCGCAGAGCATGGCTGAGTGACTCCCGATCCTCTCCTTATTGTGGTGTCCTGAAAATGAGGGCTTTTATAAACCGTTAGCCAGGGTTCTCTCTGCTTTAAGATGCACGAGTTTTCAAGACAGACGGGACTAGATGGGGACTAGGCAAGGGAGGTCTTGGCTGAGCCCTCAGATGTGCTGTGCCCTCAGGTTCCTGGGCAGGATGATGTCAGTGGGTGGGCGGGTGGTAGATCTTGGGGAACCTTGTGATCTGGTATATGATGTAGGGGGCATAGGAGGTATTTTGTGGGCAGTGAATCTGGAGTGGGGACAGGGCTGTGGGTGCAGGTAGGAGTCCTGGCTTGCTGCACTCCGGTCCTGGGTGGAGAGCAGATGGTGGGTGCAGCAGGCAATGAGCACCCCCCAACTCTGCTCCCTTCCCTAGGGTGCCTTTCCCCTTGCCTTTGGTTAAAGTCTGCCAGAGTGCCTCCGCCCCCCTCCACCCCGCACCAGATCAGGAAGGAGGGAAGTGTTTGGAGGCTGGGGTCATAACACTTCACTTTGGATGCTCCCTCTGCCACTGGCTGTGTGATCTCTGGGAAGTCACTTAACTTCTCTGAGCTTCCACCATGGGTGTCAAGTGGAGCTAATTACACATGCCTTTCTGGGTTTTCATGAAAAACAAATGACACTGGATATGAATTACCTAGCGTGGTGTCTGACACATAGTAGGCACTTCCTGTGTGCTCTTCTTGCTTTCTCCAGGAAGTTTCTCTTTTCCTCAGCATGCGGTGGTCTCGTTCTGCCTGCGTAGCCATGGAACCGTATCTGCTACACCGTGTAGATTTTAAGCTACTTGAGCACGGGACCTGTGCCAGACTCATTTTTATATTCTCCGTGGCACCTGGCACAGAGTTTTGTACATGTTAAGTGGATTAGTAAAGATTAAAAAAATTGTTTGGGATTTTATTTCCAGCCTTTGGGGAAGGACTGTGTTTTAAGTGCACAAACCCCACTTCCCACCAGGGGGCACAGTGAGACTTAATATAAGCAGCTCTGTAAGCTTCTAGAATCTGGAAGAATCCTTGATTCAAGGTAACAGCTACTGAGATATGATTTTTTTTTTTCTGATCAGGAGAAAAACAACACAATCCGTCTGATTAATCTACAGAACGTGGAGTGCCAGTTCCTTCATCTCCTTAAAATGTAGCTTTGGAATTCATAAATTTCAATTGGGCACATTACAGTGGAAAGATACTTATTTTAATATGTTCTAAATGTTCTGTGAGCTGTAAAATATGCTCATATTAGTTTTGAAAAATTTACAGCTAGAGAAATTAAGCAAAATAAAACAATGATTCATAACTCCCCACCGATGCTCTGTTTTCGTGTCAGCGACCCCTTCCTGCCCGCGTCTGTCGCGAGCATCTGTTCCCCGGAGCTGTGATCCCAGCACCGAGGCCCTTTTCTGTACTCCTCGCATTTCCCGTGTCCTCGTTTGGCTCAACACGCTTGAATGCCCGCTGCACATAAAGGTGCCATTCAGACTCCGAGGCCCTTTTTGAAGGAAGCCGCAGCGACGTGACCTCCTTGAACCAACCTTATTGTCGGCCCGTGTACGGCCCCCTGCCAGGTGCCCGAGCGCTCCCAGAGGCATAGCGCAGGCTTCTCGCTTCTGTGTGTGAAAACCTGGAGTTCTGAAACACAAAGGATCCTAAGGAAACATATGAATTAGGTGTTGTTTATCTGTTTTACACAATGATTTCTTCAGGGAATTCTTCCAATAACAAACTTCCTTAAAATGCTTACATATGAACTTTTCCTTATTTTTTTTAAAATTATTTTTTAGAAAGAGAGGAAGGAAGAGGGAGAGAGAGAGAAACACCCCCTCCCGGGGGTTGAGTCCGCAGCCCCGGCATATGCCCTGACTGGGAATCAAATCCACAACCTTTTGGTGCACAAGATGATGCCCAACCAACTGAGCCACACCAGCCAGGGCTAAACTTCTGCTTTTTGATCATGAATGTAATAGATGTTTACTGTGAAAAACAGGAAATACAGAAAATATGAGGCACAAAGGATACAGCAGACATCATTGCTAGTCCTAAGCCTGAGTGGGCACCCCATTAACACTGGGGCCCTGGAGGACGTGCCTGTATGTTTACCGAATTGGGCTCACGCTGCGTCGTCTGTACAGCTTGGATCTCCCCCTTCACCCCCTTTTTCTGTACTGTTTGTAAGGGGCATTCTTCTATGTTAACAAAAAATGTCCCCAAACATATTTTCCCGACTGTCTCAAATTCCAAACTTTGCTAGTTCCATGTCATTTCCTGACATGTCCTGCTTTTGTTTTGAAAAGTCAGTCCTGCAGTGAACATGGCTATATGTAAATGTATTTTTTTTTGAAATTAAGGAGCATACCCTGCTTGTATATGTAAATGTCTCCATGATAAAAGGATGTAACATAAATTGGCATTAATTTGCAAAAAAAAGTCTTTTTTTTTTTTTTTTTTTTTTTGCTGCCTCGATGCAGTTAAGATGGGGTTTAGCTAAAGAAAGCCTTTGTGTGTGGCGAGTGCGACCTGAGTAGGTTGGCAGACCTCCTGTGCCGTCGTCACATCAGACTC